TATAATTGATTAATTTGATACATTGCTAACATAAACATTTGGTTTAGTGGAACTTTGAATAATTCAGCTTTTTTCCACACTGACAGAAAACCAACATGTCCATGCTCTTCAACTATAGAAACATCAAATTAAGAAGGCAAACCGTGTTTGAAGCCATGGCGGCACATTATCTCTGAAGTAGAGGGTATATTGTCTGTTTTCCTTCATTCTGATCAAAATGAAGTTTCCATTCAAAGAGCCAAAGATGGCTGCCATACGAAGAGACGGAAAGGTCAGCGATGACACATCAGACCCAGCAGGTTCCAGGTAAGACAGATGAGAGAGCAGCATAGAACTCATCAGTGCATTGCAGCACAATGCAGAGCTGTGGGGCATTAAAAGGAGTAGGAGGCTATTATATCATCAGCGAAGGCTCATCTGCTGGATGGAGATGAAAGCGCCTTCGTCAAATCTTCGGCCCAAATGGCATCTTGTCAGTGTGGGCCTTTGAATCAAGTGTGACATTGTCCTGACATTTATGAATCTCTTTCATCTCTCATGGCTCAATTTTGCCAGCAATCAGAGCCTCTGATGATTTCTTTACCTATAAAGGAAGGCCTGTCAATGGCAAAGCTGCACCTGTTGCTGCCTCTATTTCTGTATACTGAATGCGTGTGCGTGTTTGTGGTGTAGCTACGCCTATTTTCAAGCTTTTGTTTTTTAGTTTACATTGATGCTCACTTCTTTAAACTCGTTTTGCAGAATAAATTGAGTTTAATTAAAATGGAATTGAATTAATGAGTGCAATTTGGCCATTTTCAAAAAAAAAAAGTTGCAATACATGCTTAACCAAAAAAAAAAAAAAAAAAAAAAAATCCCAATCATCGTTAATCACTGGATACTTCCGCAGCTTAACCTTTGTCCGTCTCTTTGAATAATCTGCCATGTTAACCGTTTATCAATAAATTGTACTCTTTAGTGTTAATCCCAGGGGCTGTCTTGATAAATGCACGTCATGACAGCTGTGATGACCTTAATCCCTCTTTAAACCAACCCTCACAGTCGCTGCTGCAAATCACACTGCACAGTCTGGCTGATGATGTCTAACTACAGTGGAACAAGTGCCTCTGCAACTCATGTTTGCAGAGGTCTTTATACTTAACCCACAACTGTGAAGACTGAGAAAACTCTTACTGACTTGGAGTAAAAGGAGGCCACGTTTAAGAACAACAAAACTATTGAAACATCCATTTGCAAACTCTTATAGAACTTGTGCAGTATAATCCAAGTCTCATTTAAACAGTTGTATGCTCAGTATTTACCAAACATGCATTTTCACTAAAATCTTACTACTTCTGCATAAAAAGTCTCTCATCCGGAGGAGTAGCCTGCAAGCTACAAGAGTGTTTGAGCTCTACTCAATGGAATGCACGATCAGAGTTCAATCGCAAAGAATTTCACATGTGGCAGTGTTATAAATAGTGAGGTTTTAGCAGGAATGAATGTGTTTGGAAAGTACTGAGCATACGAATAGATAAATGAGAGTTGGATTATACTGCACGAGTTGTGTGAGAGTTTGCAAATGGACATTTTGATATAGTTTTGCTGTTGTTACATGTAGTCGGCCTTTTACTGCAATTTGTAGAAGAATAAAAACAAAACATCAACAGCCATGCTCGACATCCTCTTGAATAATATCCCCCTCCCTGTCACAAAACATTTTTTTGAAGTAAATTATTTCTTGCTTTGTACATTATTCGTACTGTTTTACGTTCCATAAATTTCAATGTATGTGACTTTAAAAACGATGTGTTCCTGTTAGGGTTGGGATCCAGATCCGGTTCTTTTTTGGAACTGGGTCCAAAGTTCCGGTTCCGGGAATTGGTTCCATCACATTTGGCATAACGGTTCCTGCAAACGGTTCCTAGATTGTTAAAAAAAAACAAAACAAAACAAAAAACGTCACATGCATTTCCATTAGAGTGCGGCACGGGCCGCATATTTCTGTCCAAACCCGACCAAGCCCGACATTATCTAATCACTAAAGCACTGAGTTTGTGTCACACAGTTGTCATGGTTACAGGCTATTTAACAGCCCAGGCGTGCGCCGTGGGTGCTCAGCTGAGGGGAGCGGTAGAAACAAACAGCCAGTGTGTGTGTGTGTGTGTGTGTGTGTGTTCTGTTCAGGTGTTGTCACGTAAATAACAGTGCCCAAGCATGAATGCATATAAGTATTTTTTTATTACATTGCTGTGGTTAATTTGAGGTAATAGTGTTACTGTAGAAATCAGAGAATCACTTTTTGTTGTTATATATTCTCAGGGAGATGATACAAGCTCTAAATCTGAAATACACACCACACACAAATGTGTATTTTCATCTAATTGTACTGTGCAGCAGTTAGAATAAAGTTTTTGTATTTGTATGATTGCATTTGTGTTTATTATATACTTGTTTAAGTATAGCAAGTATAATGAATATAATGTAGGAATCGGTAAGAGGAATCGGTAAGGAATCGGACTGTTAAGAAGGAATCGGTAAGGAATCGGAATCGTTAAAATCCTAATGAGTCCCAACCCTAGTTCCTGTGCTCCCTATATCCAACATTAGGTACAGTCCTAATGGCTTTTTTTGTAATAAATGTAATGTAGCTATATAAATTGTTTTTACAGGTGTTACCCCAGACCTCCACACAGTGATTAAGCTATGGCAAAACAAGTGAGCAGTAGACTATATAGTTGTTTATGGTCCAATATGTGTCTTGATTTTCCCATAACTGTAACGCTCCTTGCCAGCTTTCTCAGTTTTTGGATTCTTCGTTCACCAACATGGCATGCAAGAAAATGAAAGTTTTCCTCATCCATTCAATGTGACATGGGGCGAGTAATTCATATACAAATGATGATTTTTGTTTGGCCGCATGTGCAGTGGTGGTACGGTGAAAAACTACTTGAGATTTCCCTGACTGTCCTGTCCAACTAGCATGTCAGTGTCTGGTTAAACATAACAGGCTGATGTGAAGCTACATTTGTTATGCAACGTATCATGTTTGTTCGTCCATGGTTATATGATACTTTTGATTGAATTAGATAATAAAAGTGCAAAAAAAAAGAAGATGAAAAAGATGATTAAGTGAATGCCTTTAATACCTGCATTGCAGTCACAACAGCTTTACATGTTACATATAACTGATCAAAGCTGTAACTGGTTCACAGTGTTCTGTCTCACTGCAGACCTGATTACATTTGTTTTGGCGCCTGTGTTTCACTTCCTACCCAATCAGCAGAGGACTTTTAAACGTGGATTGTTAATGCTGTTGGAAACCTGTGTCCTTCCTCCTGGGGGATTGTAATGCAATAATAAAAAACAAAAATACATAAAAGTCTTTCTTTTTGTTTTTTGGTTAGGGTTAAGGTTATGTTGTCATTTCTTTCTTGTCTTTATTTTCTACAATAAGGGAGCCAATCTTTAAAACATTTTTTTTGTCATTAAGCCCTTATAACATTTAGCCTGTCTCTTTTCTGTAACATGTTCTCACAGCAGCCTATCAGCTGTCCTTAGACAAGTTAAAACTGTCTTGGTAGACTACTAGTTGAGTAGAAATGTATAATCATAGCTGCCAGTTACACATCATTTTGTTGTCCTATCATGAAATCCGTTAAAGAACGCTCTTAACTTTACATTTAAACCCCAGTTTAGACCAATGATTCTCGTCGAGAAGAGTTGAAACAGGCAGCTACTGGTGATGCGCTGTTCTGCAACATTTCATCTTGTCGCAAATCATTGGACTGAACTGGGCTTAATGAGGCAAAACCTAATGTACATAAACACACCTGTTTGCTTCCCCTCCAAAGACACACAAACATAGTGCAAATAAAAAAATGTTAATGCATTAAATAAATGTGAGTTTACCTTCCTTTTAGCCCTGAGCTGTCCATGATAGTTATCAGATGAGTCTCCTGGGATCTCTCCTCCCCACAGAGTGATGCCCACGATGGTGTAAGTGATGCCCATCACCACTAGGGGCAGCACGTAGACCAGAACTGTAACTATGATATGATACCTGTGAAAGTGGAGAAACTCATCACCAGCATATATTTTAATTGGTGGGACAATGATGAACAATGACCTATCTTGAGTTAAAGACAGACACAACCAGATGACACACTGGGAAATACACATTTAAGAGACAAGATTACAGCCAAGCTTTGCCATGATGATGAAGCCTGACATAAGCTAAATGAAAGGGGTTCATCAGTGTTCTCACATGAGGGGGTCACCAGCCATTCGGGGCCAGGCCACGTAGCAGAGGGTCCTCCGGGGCAGAGCTCGGGTGGTGGAGTAGTAGCAGAGAGGGAAGGCCAGAACTACGGCCAGACTCCATATACAGACGATAACTCCCATAGTGGCCTTCGCCGACAGACGAGGCTTCAGGGGGTGGATGATGGCCATGTACCTACAGGTCAGAGGTCACAACATTAGCCTGGGCTATAACTTTATTTAAGATTTCAAACATGCAAAACATAACGGTTTCAGCACTTCATGCAAACCTGAACACAGCTAGCATTTTGCAAAAAAGGTTGATTTATTCACTATGTTGCTCTGATGAATATTTGTCTGAAGACAAGATCATCAAACATTTTATTTAGTATAAATTTGTTACATCCAGTCTGCTGAAGTTTGTCTTTTCTGTAACATTTTTGCTAACTTTTCCTTGTCAAATAAAGGCTTATAATGTTGATATTCTTTCGAACAAAGTCCTTCACCTCCCTGCATGTTTTATAACACTGAAATACTCACTGACAGTAGTGTATAAGCTGTCCTTACCAGACAAGTCAAAAGTGTCTTGGTGGAAACCAGGTGAGTGTAAATGTATAATCACAGCTGCCAGTAATACGCCATTTTGCTCTCCTTTCATGAAAACTGTTAAAAATAATCTTTTACATTTGCGGTGAAACATAATGTATATCCATACATAATCTGCAAACACACCTGTTGACACAACTTAAGAGAAAAGGTGTAACTATATAGAGTGTAAATGAACATACAATCAGTTAAGGTATTAGTGATGATACTATTGGTCATCATAAATTCAACCATCTCAGACATATATGCTCTCAAATACACGTAAGTTGTAGTTAAAGTCAACCTTCTTACAATCACAAATGACTGTATTCTAAAACTATGAATTTGCATTAGGTTTTCTATTGTTACAACTGAATATAAAAACACAGAAAAAACTAAAACTTTCTGAAATAATTAATTAGGGTCATCACATGTACTGTATATGCAGCACTGTAGCACTCTTAATTTTAAAGATGGCTGAAAGCTTCAGTGTGTAAAATACAGGGGAATTTAGTGGCACCTAGTGGTGAGGAATGCATTTTGCAACCAGCTAAAACTTCTCCCATTTAGAATTTCTTCCCTCCTACACACCCCACATTTTCTGCTTTAACTTTTGCTCTTGTCCTGCAGCGTTTCCCCCAGGAAACACCGTCCCACTCTGTTAAACTATAACAGTGACCAGCCATGTATCATGCCAATGTTAAAGGATGGATTTTTCACCAGTGTCTGATGCGGCAACTCACTGACCAAGCACTGGATTTTGACAACTTCAGAGTAAGACTAGGTTGGCAAAAGTGTGAATGGCTGAATCTGGAGGCAGTGTTTAGTTTGTCCATTCTGGGCTACTGTAGAAACATGGTGGTGCAACATGGCAAGGTAACAAAAACACAGTTCTTATTTTCAGGTGATTATACACTAAAGAAAACATACTGCTTATATTATATTTAATTTCTGCCGATATATCCCCCTACATTTTACACACTGGACCTTTAAATAATCAAGACATTTAATGTAGGCAACCCTTACATAGGTAAACTGACTCAAGTTAATGCATTCATTAACCAAGTTACTGTGAAACGCAAATTGTAAAATACCTTAGATAGGGTTTCTACACATTTTCCATTTCAAATTTCCACACTTTCTGTACTATTTCCAGACTTCTCAGTAGATTTTTCAGATCATGTTTGACTTCTGAGTACAGATAACTGGATGTTCATTATGTAAACAAATACTTTTAAAATCCAACTGTTGAAAAAGTGATTGCCAGAAGATTGTAGCCAAGACCTGAAGTGTAGCATACTGAATAAATAATATCATATTATTGCTTCCCCATATTTTTAAATCTTTATTATAAATAAGAACCGAAAAAAATGTTGGAAAAAAGACAATTTAATTTTCATGGCGTCTGTGCAGCACTGAGTCCATGAAAACGACGATGGCATGGTTTCCTTGTGTTGAAAAGACATTTCGTTTACTTTTCTGATCATTACATATATCACTGCATTACTCAAATGTTCAATGATAACACTTAATGTATGGTATCATCTTCCTCATACCTGTCGAGGGCTATCGCGGTCATGGAGTAGATGCTGGCGAACACAGCGGTGACCGGGAAGAAGTTGTGAAACCTGCAGTACACCTCTCCAAAGTACCACTCTCCGTGCGTCGCGTAGATAAAGTTGACGAGCGTGTTGAAGGCAGCCATCGACACATCAGCAAAAGCCAAGTTCAGCAGGAAATAGTTGGTGACGGTTCTCATCCGCTTGTGCGCCAGAATAATCCACATCACAATCAAGTTTCCGAAAACCGCCACCGCCAGCACCGTGCTGTATGCCACCGACCACAGCGCCACGCGCCACGCCGGCTGCACGAACTGGTTGGTCAGATTCCTGGTTGTGTTGGATTCATCCCGTCCAGAGGCCATTCCTCAAGTGTCCTCAGTCCGATCTGCTTTAGCCGGGCTGCTGGCAGGCGACATAAGTCACTGTGGCACCTCTGATGCGCAACATACGCGCCTGGTTAACATGTGACCAGAGAGACGGAGACAGAGAGAGAGAGTGGTGCTGATGCAGACAGTCTGTTATCACTCAGAGATGCTGTGGTGGATAGATTGAGTCTGATAGCCTGGCACAATCCCTGATCAGATAAATCTATCAAAGGATGTCAAACTGATATGAGCATGACATGCAGGCTATTATAAAACAACATAGTTGAATTATATATAAAAAAATAATTAGTAAAATAACAGAATCTGTCAAAAAAAATTGTAGTAAAGTAAAAAGTACAAGGTGCCATGTGAAGACAGTACCCAAGAAAAGTGCAAGTACCTCACATTTGTATTTGAATACAGTACTTAAGTAAATGTAATTAACTACATTTCACCAATTCACATGACCAATTTTATCCAAACAAGTTATAACAAGTTAATTCAACCTCCTCCACCCTGATGCTGATACAAATCTTATCAGCAGGATTGTGCTGTAGTCATTTCTTACAGCTCATGAGACTCTACTGTTAGTCTTCAAGTCAGGACTTCAACTTCAAAACTCTGGTAAATGTCAGTATCTTATGGAAAAAATTGTTGCTACAAATCATCATAAAGTAGCACTACATAACATGAAATTGGGAAAAATTTGCTTCAGCGCTGGTTTTTTAGTACTGGCACTATCAGCTTAATCATCTGAATTATTGATTTTATCCTACCAACTTTTATACGTCTTTTCTTTTATTCACTTTGGTCTGTATTTGCTTGTTTGTTTCTTTGTGAGACTATACACCGATCAGCCAAAACATCAAAACCACTGACAGGTGAAGTGAACAACATTGACCATCTTGTTACAACGCAATGTTCTGTTGGGAAACGTTGGGTTCTGACATTCCTGTGGTTGCCACCTGACACGCTCCACCCACTGAAACACCAGTGCAGACCGGGTACCCGCCATTATGGCAACCGCACCCCTCAGTAGCAGTGGCCCCCCAGCAGGACAATGCACCATGCCACACCACAAAATGTGACGAAGAGCTCAAGGCATTAACCTGGCCTGCAAATTCCCCAGATCCCCATCTGATCAAACATCTGTGGGACATGCTGGTGCAGCACCTCACATCATACAGGACTCAAAAGATCTAAAGCTAACATCCAGCACGTCCCTCAAATTTTCGATCAGGTTGGGATCTGGGGTATTTGGAGGCCAGGTCGATGCCTTGAGCTCTTTGTCCCACTCTATGGGTCATGCCTGAGCAGTTTTTGTGATGTGACAAGGTGAGCTGTCCTGCTGGGGGGGCCACTGCGATCGATAAGTGCCGTTGTCTGCAGCGGTGTTCGGGTAGGTGGAGCACGTCGCCCCCCCCTTGTGGCCCAATTGTTGAAAAACGCACGCTAAAGTGCCATCCTGGGAGCCAAAACGCGTGCTAAAGTGCCCTTTTTTTTTCTTTTCGCCCCTGCCCTTCAAAAAGTGTATGCACGCCACTGGCCAGGACCCAAGGTTTCCCAGCAGAACATTGCCATTTTTATCCAAACAAGTTACATTAAGTGCATTCAGCCTCCTCTGACGCTGATACAAATCTGATCAACAGGTTCATGCTGTGGTCATTTCTTACAGCCCGAGTTCAAAACTCTGTTAAATGTCCAAACCGTTTCATTCCAAAGGGTCATGCATTAGAGCTGTGTGAAGCCTTGGATGACTGTGAGTATATGGTTAATCCTTCATAGCCGTGCCATCAGAAAAAAAAAGCTCCAGAATTTTATGTAGGTTGGTCTGTATTATGTAACCATAAGCTCAAAACAGATCAAGTGTAAAGGCCATTAAGTGACAGACATAAGGAAATGGCTTGTGATGATATGACTCTCCTGGTTTAGGCAAAGAACATTTAATTCAAAGACGTCTCTTTGTTTCATCTCCAAAATCATCCACATATTTTCTCCAGAACATCCAGATTGTTTTTGACTGCAAATTAAAGAGGACCAAAATTAAAATTAATTTGTCAAAAAGTGGTTACACTGTGTTGTAAACTAAACTAAAGGGCAGTGAAGGTATCTCCTTCCTCTCAGAGAAAATACCCAGTTAGCATCTGTTTCTGCTGCTGGGTTCAACTGCCAGTTGGATTAAATTGCACCTGCTGTGCTTGTTTTTATGAGCTGCACTGTATAATGTGCTGTTTCATGTCTACATTGTCTGGTCTGGCTTTAATAGTTCAGCATCCCCCACATAAAAATAGGACATGGAAATAGACTGATTGATTCTGAATTCATGGCTCAGTCTCTTCAGTGCACACAAACACATACAAAGATTTGCACACTTGAAAAAAAAAAGACCACAAGAAGGTCAGACAGTCTGTTTCCTCTCAGCAAGACCTCATTACCCAGAGGCCACCTCTTTTGGGCCACTCCCTGTCTCAAATGTCACTGTTCAAACCTCTCCCACACACGCCCTGTTCCCCCATACTAAAAAGGTCGCAAGCTATTAGGTAACGCTTGATAATATCATTAGCTGCATCAAAAATTCTTTTTCCTCTGTTTCATATGAATAATTCAGGCATCATTTAATCACTAGGGAGGGACCAGCAGGGAGGATGAGAGCAGCTCTTTGTCCGGTGTCTGATCTGTACGTAACGGGATGAAGTCTGATTCCTGTAAAGCAAATTACAGTGAAACTGACTGACTTGAAGAGTTGGATACAGTCAACACAATCCTGTGGAGAAAAGCAAACTTGGAAAGATGTTTCATGTCTTTAAAGACATCACCAGCTGTGTATAAATGTGGACGACATTCAATCAGTCCTTTCAGTGCTTCTATAGCAACACATACACCTCTGGCAGTCGTCAAGGTTGGCTGCTTGCATGTCGGAGGAGAGGCTATACTGTTCCTTAGATGAGACACGAGATGTGACTATTCAGATTCTGTCCTGTGACCCAGCAGCATTATATTTGTTCAGGGAAATGTACAGTAGTTGTGAATGAACTAGAAAAAAAAAACACTCCCCAGGGCCCCCATGCTGTTTAACTGAGAACACTACAGACATGCAGTCTATTGTTGCATGTCAAAACCTTTTTTCCCTGTGAGATACAGCACAAACTGGCATGCAACTACTTATGGCACGCTGCTGTGTAAAGTAGAAAATCCTAAAATGTCCAACTCATAGACAGCTTGTGAGAGTGGTGGAAGTCGTACTCAGATAATTTGTAAAAGTAAAAGTGCAACAAAACTGTGGAACTGCTAACAATTTAGTGACATGTGATAGGCATGATTCCTGCACACTAATATCCTTGCTACACTTTACTTTGAGTTTTCAGTCTATCAGACCGCCATCAGCGCATACATGAATCAGCAACAATTCGCATAATTCTAATCAGGCAGTATGCAACACACTTGTGCACAACCCCCCACCTCTTGGGAATTGTAGTTCATTAAGTACTGAATGGAGTACTGTGAGGCATACAAGCATGGATAGAATTATGAATGGGCCTTTCAGGCACAAGCCCAGGGAACCCCGTGACCTTCACCTGCAAAATGTCACTCAAATTAGCACGTAGCAACCAGGAAGACACACAGAGAGACCACGTAGAGATGCAAAGGAACTGCAAAGAGACACAAAAAAACTAGAAAACCGATCAAAACAACTACAGTACAGGCCAAAAGTTTGGACACACCTTCTCATTCAATGCGTTTTCTTTATTTTCATGACTATTTACATTGTAGATTCTCACTGAAGGCATCAAAACTATGAATGAACACATGTGGAGTTATGTACTTAACAAAAAAAGGTGAAATAACTGAAAACATGTTTTATATTCTAGTTTCTTCAAAATAGCCACCCTTTGCTCTGATTACTGCTTTGCACACTCTTGGCATTCTCTCCATGAGCTTCAAGAGGTAGTCACCTGAAATGGTTTCCACTTCACAGGTGTGCCTTATCAGGGTTAATTAGTGGAATTTCTTGCTTTATCAATGGGGTTGGGACCATCAGTTGTGTTGTGCAGAAGTCAGGTTAATACACAGCCGACAGCCCTATTGGGCAACTGTTAAAATTCATATTATGGCAAGAACCAATCAGCTAACTAAAGAAAAACGAGTGGCCATCATTACTTTAAGAAATGAAGGTCAGTCAGTCCGGAAAATTGCAAAAACTTTAAATGTGTCCCCAAGTGGAGTCGCAAAAACCATCAAGCGCTACAACGAAACTGGCACACGTGAGGACCGACCCAGGAAAGGAAGACCAAGAGTCACCTCTGCTTCTGAGGATAAGTTCATCCGAGTCACCAGCCTCAGAAATCGCAAGTTAACAGCAGCTCAGATCAGAGACCAGATGAATGCCACACAGAGTTCTAGCAGCAGACCCATCTCTAGAACAACTGTTAAGAGGAGACTGTGCCAATCAGGCCTTCATGGTCAAATAGCTGCTAGGAAACCACTGCTAAGGAGAGGCAACAAGCAGAAGAGATTTGTTTGGGCCAAGAAACACAAGGAATGGACATTAGACCAGTGGAAATCTGTGCTTTGGTCTGATGAGTCCAAATTTGAGATCTTTGGTTCCAACCGCCGTGTCTTTGTGAGACGCAGAAAAGGTGAACGGATGGATTCCACATGCCTGGTTCCCACTGTGAAGCATGGAGGAGGAGGTGTGATGGTGTGGGGGTGTTTTGCTGGTGACACTGTTGGGGATTTATTCAAAATTGAAGGCACACTGAACCAGCATGGCTACCACAGCATCCTGCAGCGACAGGCCATCCCATCCGGTTTGCGTTTAGTTGGACGATCATTTATTTTTCAACAGGACAATGACCCCAAACACACCTCCAGGCTGTGTAAGGGCTATTTGACCAAGAAGGAGAGTGATGGAGTGCTGCGGCAGATGACCTGGCCTCCACAGTCACTGGACCTGAACCCAATCCAGATGGTTTGGGGTGAGCTGGACCGCAGAGTGA